CAATATAAAATACCTTGGGGTAACGCTAACCAAACAAGTGAAAGACGTGTATCGTAAGAACTTTGACTCTTTAAAGAAAGAAATTAAAGAAGCCCTCAGAAAATGGAAAGATCTCCCATGCTCTTGGATAGGTAGGATCAATGTAGTAAAAATGGCAATCCTGCCAAAGCAATCTACAGATTCAATGCAATCCCCATTAAAATCCCAGCACAATTCTCCACAGACCTTGAAAGAACAATAATCAATTTTGTGTGGAAAACCAAAAGACCCAGGATAGCCAAAACAACCCTGTTCAACAAGGCAACGTCCAGAGGCATCACCATCCCTGACCTCAAGCTCTATTATAGAGCTATAGTCCTGAAAACAGCTTGGTATTGGCACAAAAATAGACAGGTAGACCAGTGGAATCGAATTGAAAACCAGGGTATTAACCCACACACGTACGAACATCTGATCTTTGACAAAGAAGCTAAAAATATACAATGGAATAAAGAAAGCATCTTCAACAAATGGTGCTGGCATAACTGGAGACTGGCATGTAGAAGAATGCGGATCGATCCATGTTTATCGCCATGCACAAAACTTAAGTCCAAATGGATCAAAGACCTCAACATAAATCCAGCCACACTGAACCTCTTAGAAGAGAAAGTGGGTGGTACCCTGGAAATAATTGGTACAGGAGACAGCTTCCTGAACATAACACCAGTAGCACAGACAGGGAGATCAACAATTAATAAATGGGATCTACCGAAACTGAGAAGCTTCTGTAAGGCAAAGGACACAGTCAGCAAGACAAAAAGGCAGCCCACAGAATGGGAAAAATATTCACTAATCCCACATCTGACAGAGGGTTGATCTCCAAAATTTACAAAGAACTCAAGAAGCAAGTCTCCAAAACACCAAAGGACCCAATTAAAAAGTGGGCTGCAGAACTAAATAGAGAGTTTTCAATAGAGGAGTCTAAAATGGCTGGGAGGCACTTGAGAAAGTGCTCAACATCCTTAGCCATCCAGGAAATGCAAATCAAAACAACTCTGAGATACCATCTCACTCCTGTCAGAATGGCTAAAATCTAAAACACCAATGACAATTTATGCTGGAGAGGATGTGGTGAAAGGGGGACACTCCTCCATTGCTGGTGGAAGTGCCAACATGTTCAGCCACTTTGGAAATCAGTATGGAGATTTCTCAGAAAAATGGGAATGAACCTACCACAAGACCCAGCAACTCCACTCTTAGGCATATATCCAAAAGATGCCCATTCATACAACAAAGATGTCTGTTCCACTATGTTCATAGCAGCTTTATTTGTAATAGCCAGAACTTGGAAGCAACCTAGATGTCCCTCAACCGAAGAGTGGATAGAGAAAATGTGGTACATCTACACAATGGAGTACTATTCAGCAGAAAAAATAATGGAATCATGAGATTCGCAGGCAAATGGATGACACTAGAAGAAACCATCCTGAGTGAGGTAACCCAGTCACAAAAAGAGAAACATGGCATGTACTCTCTCATATATGGATTTTAGACATAGATCTGGGGAGTGCCAGCCTACAATCCTATGGCCAGAGAGTCTGGGAAACAGAAACTTCATTTAGTGGCTGATCGAAGAAGAGGCAGACTCCTTGGTTAAGTACTGAGCTGAACTCAAGAAAGCCAGTAACAAGAGAGGGAGGACTGATGATCAAAGGGATTAAGACTGGGCTGGTTTAACCCCAAGAAACAGCTGACCAGACAAAGGTTAACTCTTGAATCCCAGGCATCAGCCTGGGAATCCAGCATGGGACTGATCAAGAACCCCTGAATCTGGGTGTCAGTGAGGAGGCCTAGGTAATCTATTGAGCCTTGGGCAGCAGATCAGTACCCATCCCAAGTATACACATGGACTTTGGACTCCCATAGAACAATGTGAGGTGCACTCTCACCCTGAACTCTTGGGGAAGGGTCTAGGCCCTGCCCTATATGAAATGACAGACTATGGACACCCCCATGGAGGGCCTCACCCTCACTGAGGGAATGAGGGGATAACGGGGGGGGTTAGGGGGAAGGAACGGGAGGAGCAGAGGGAAAGGGAGAGGGACTTGGAACTGACTGATGAAGCAACCTTGTTTCTTATCTAAGTTTAAACTGTAAAATAAAAGAAAAAATCAAAAAAAATATAATGACATGTTGTGCTGTGTGAGAATGTTTTAGGAAATAAAGGAATACAGATAAACGTTTGAATAGTTGCATATTTTTATTCAAATAATTTTACACCATGATTACATGAATGATAACAGTATATGACAAGAATATCATACATTAATTAAACGTGATTGCATAAAAAAGCATGCACAGTTTGATTCTTATTAAGCTAATGCAAAGCCATATAATAATATAATGGAAACAATGATTTTCTCTTGGGCAAGGGACATGACTTTGAACATCATGGATTCTTTCAGAAGACTTGAAAAGTTTTGAACATGATTCTCAAATTATATATAACAAAACAGTTATAAAGTAAGAACTATAGTTATAATATTTAGCTAATTAACATTTAGTAATGTTTAAAGAAAATAACTTATCAGCTATCCTATCTTTGTGAGTCTAATGTTTTACCATGCAACCTATCTTTTATCATAACTAAGGAAGATCATAACCATAACTGTCTTTAAATCCATCAAATACCACAGAAGGATAATATATATACTCTAGAACAGACAGACATCTCGCTGCCTGGTCAGTCACTCAAAGTTCCTCTGTAATATTGAAGCATCTTTGACCCATAGGCCACAAGTGTGTCTGACAGTCTTCTCAGAGAAGCAGGAAATTAGGAAATGTCCCACCTGTATTGGCAGTTTGTAAGTAATTTTTCTCTGTGCCCTGTAGAATGTCTTGCAGACTTTCCAGGCGGTGGTGGTGAACGCCTTTAATCCCAGCACTTGGGAGGCAGAGACAGGTAGATCTCTGTGAGTTTGAGGCCAAACTGGACCTACACCGTTGAAAACAATACAGAGAAACCCTGTCTCGTAAAAACCAAAAACAAAAACAAAAAAAAGAATGTCTTCCAGACTCTTTTATGAAGCAGGAACCCTACAGCACTGACCCATTGTCTTTTAACAGTCACTTCTCTGTTGGTCCTGTATGTCCACTTCATACAGTATACAGTCAAACAGTCGAGGCATGAGCAGTTATTTGTCCAAATGGCTAGTCTTACCACGTTAAAGGCAGATTCCATTATAAGATTTTTCGATGTCCATCTTCCTCTCTGAAGCAATTGGTATTGCCAGTAGCAGTTATGTCACACTGACATAAAAAAGCCTAAATCATATTAAATGCCATATTCTATAGATCTTTGAAAGGTTTGAAATATATCTATATGTATTTAGAAAACCTAACTAACCAAACTATAAGTTTTGACTGTTATAGGTAATTATCTATAATCTGTACTTAATTATATATTACATCTTAAAATATGCTATATAAGCACATTACCTAAACAAGAGGAGAAATATACATATCACAAAATTGACCTTAAATTTGTGTCAATAAATAAAAATTCATTCCAATAACAGGTACTCATTTCTGTATCATAACCCCCCATTTTTCCCTTAAAAAAGATTGGTTGTCATCATTAACCATTTATAACCAACGCCACTTAAATGAATACATTTGGGGGCACTGTTAGAACCATGGGGATTATGAGAAAACAGAAATCTGGCCAAATTCTGCCATCTAATGCCTGTCCTGACTTCATTTAAGATGAACTCTGACCTGGAAGAATATGCCATATAATTCTTTCATCCTCTAATTTTTTTTTGGTCAGAGTATTGTATCATAGGAACAGAAAGGAATTTAGAAGAGCATGGAGGAAATGAATTCTGAGAAAGTTGTAAGTAGCTGAAGAGGCTGAGCTTATGGTGTTTCAGAGTGGAGCAAGGACTCTGCCAGGATCGGGGCTAGGGACCATGTCAGTGATATTTTGTTTGAGAATTCTGGCATTATTCTACCATTATTCTGAGAACTTTGTTGAAGTTGAGTTTTAAGAACACGAACTGATCTTCTGATAGAAGAAAGGAGTATGGGTAAACAACGTGCAAACATTGAGGGAGCAGAAATTGTTAGAAAGATTAGAATCATCACAGAGACCCTGAGCTCTGCACTGGGACAATAGAGAAGACATTCTTGAGGGGTCCCATACAGAAGCTGATACACAGTGATCCAAGCATCTGGGCTATATCTCCAACTGGTGTCACAACCTGGCCTTTGGTCAACATAGTACTCATTTGGATTGAATATTTGTCATGAAATGTGGTTCCCGAAGAGGGATGGTCAAAATAAATACCCATAGAGAAGTGGGAGACATGCCCTTGGAGTGCTAAGCAAGGCAGAGTGAGAGGGAACCACAGGAGCGAGCTCTGCATTAACATTCAAGCAAGCATTGGTATTTTGTCTCTGGTTACAAAACTTGATCTCACTCTTCCATTGCCCCAAATGGTATAAACAATTGGCTTGAAAGTGATGAATACAGTCTGGTGAATTGAAATTTAATAAGCTGTCTTAACATTGCATATTTGTTTACTAAGCAATTTATATAAGAGATTTGTGAAGTTATAAACATCTTCTAAGCATCCCGAAATTAAGGAGACTAGGATTGTGGGGAAATTTTATGCAATGATTTTAACATTGAGACAAGATTTCTTTTAAAAATAAATAGAACATTTGGACAAAATATAGCCATCATTTAATCATTGTCAAATTCAATGACCAAAGAAGTCCTGAGCTTTCCACCAGAGCCTTAAGACTTCCTCTAAGGGAAGGATTTCCCCTCAGTGAGATCTTTTCTGGACCTGAGTAGCAGGTTTAAGGATACTGCAAGCAGTACCTGATTGACAAGCATTGTCTCACTCAACTTTCACAAGAATAATTATTTTTCAACATATGTAAGGTCAGATATCCAAATGAAAATGGTATTAAAATTGCCTTCATGGACAAGGACAAAAATGTCTGCTGCTGTACTAGACTATTTCCTGTCCGGAAGAACTCCTCTCTCCACCTTCCTTCTCAGGAGTGTCCTGCATGGCCCTCTGTAGAATCATCTTCAGAGTCTGCCTCTGGAATCGGTGATACCTAATGGACCCAACAAGGAAGTAAATGATGGGGTTGGCACAACTGTTAATACAGGATAGGAATATTGTCATTTCTAAAACACGGCAAGAGGAATTGATATGAATGCCTTTGACCCAAAATAAGTGGAACCAGTAGATACCATAGGACAAACCAAAGGCAAGGAAGACCAGCACTGTGAGGGCAATGGTCACATACAGCCTGGTCACAGGAATCCTGTGTGAGCCACAGAAGACCCTGAGCATCAGGGCCAGGCTGGACCCCAAGAGGACCACAAATAAAACAATTAACCAAGCAAAAGTGATGAAATCTAATTTCTTACACCAAGCCAAAACTAAGTCATTAAAGAAGGCTCCACATGAACTTCCTTCCAGGAGGCCCAATATCAGGGACAAGGCCCAGAGCAAGGCACATATGACAGCTGATGCATGTCTTGGTCTTTGACAGCGGTACCATATTGGCCACAGGGCAGACAGGCAGCGCTCGGTGCTAATGGCACTGAGCATGCTTAGACTTGCCAAATAAGCACAATTTAACACTGTAAGGAAATGGATGGGTACATCAATATGTATTATATGGTGATGACAAAGTATTTTTTCCAGGGAATACAGAGTGTGAAAGAAGAGGAAGAGGAAGTCGGCACCAGCCAGGTTGAGGATGTAGACAGAGAAGGCATTCCTGTGCAAGCAGAAGCCCAGGAGCCACAGCACAATGGCATTTCCTGCCATACCAACCAGGGCAATGATGACTATGAGAATATTCAGGGTATAGATTACTGTGGCACAGTATAAAGGCTGATTGTAGTCACAGGTATTCATTGCTGTGCCATTAGCCATCCAGGCTGGGGTGCTTAGTTGCATGCTTGGAAATTCTTCACTAGTGTTCCTGAAATGAAAAAGAAAAGACATGAACACACACTGTATACTCTCTGACACCCTCCCTCCCCACCCAACTCTGTGGGAATAACTGACCCTGGCTCACAAAGTGGAGGAAACAGCTTACATAAATTAAGTCATTTGTCAACTTTTAAAATTTCTTGAAGATTTTACTGACTTGGGCTATGAGGTGGTTTGAAAGAAAATGGCTCCCATAGGGGGGTGGCACTAATAGGATGTGTGGCTTTGTTGGAGTAGGTGTGGCTTTGTTAGAGAAAATATGTCCCTCTGGGGATGGGCTTTGAGGTCTCCTATGCTCAATCTATGTTCAATGTGGGGCACTGTTCACTTCCTGTTGCCTGTGGATCAAGAAATTTCAGCTCTTTCTCCAGTACCATGTCTGTCTGCATGGTACCATGTCCTACCATTATCATGATGGAGTAAACCTCTGAAACTCTAAGCCAGTCACAACTAAATGCATTCCTTTATAAGAGTGGCATGGTCCTGAAATCTCTTCAAAGCTATAGAAATCCAGACTAAGATGGAAATTGACACCACACACTGGTGTATTGCTTTAATAGACCTTTCCACACTTTCATTTGGAGACATTGGGACTTCTGGATTTTGTAATGCTTCAAGCATTGCTCAATGGACCATACTAGTAAGAGGATGGAAGACAGTGGTTCTGAGGGTGATTTGAACTTTGGGAGCCTAACTCAAGAAGTTTCAGGAGAGAAGAATGTTACTATGTTGACTAGAAATTATCCTTGTGATATTTTGATGAAGAATGTGGCTGCCTTTTATCCTTGTCAATAGAGTCTTTCTGAGATTAACATGAGGAGCTTTGGATTAATTCTATTGGCAGAAAAACATCTCAAAACTGCCTAGTACAAATTTTGTCATGTGGTTATTAGTGTTCACTCTAATGAAGATTTATAACACAAGGGGCAAACCAAAGAAGGAAAAATACACATTTTTCTTTGTGAGTAGAAAAGGAGCACCAGGAAATGGGATGGAGCTAAGTTCTGTGCTAAAGGAGATAAACAGATAAATAACTGAGGAAAGGGGTCAAAACCGGGCCAGAGAAACCCACAGAAACAGCTGACCTGAACAAAGGGGAGCTCATGGACTCCAGACTGATGACTGAGAGGCCAGCATGGGACTGATCCAGACCCCCTAAATTTGGGTGTCAGCGAGGAGGCCTTGGCAATCTATGGGGCCTTGGGTGGTAGACCAGTATTTATCTCTGGCATACAAATGGACTTGGGAGCCCATCCTACATTGGTAGATGCTCTCACAGCCTGCACACAAGGGGGAGAGCCTAAGCCCTGTCCCAGATGAAATGTCAGACTTGGAGATCCCCCATGGAGAGCCTTAACTTCCTGGAGAACAGAGTGTGGACTGGGTGGGAGGTTCAGGGATTTGAGAAGGTTGGGGAAGGAGGAGAGAGAGAGGGACCTGCGATTGACATGTAAAGCAAGCTTGTTTCTAATTTAAATAAAAAAGAAATGAAATAAAGAGAATGATGACATCACGGCAAGATCCCATCTAGCTAAATTTATACTTGTGGAAAGGGATTAAAGAAAATCTCAGAGAGACAGGTGTGGTAGTACACACCTTTAATCCCAGCACTACAGAGGCAGAGGGAGGCAGATTTTGGACTCTGAGGCCAGTATGGTCTACAGTGAAAGTTCCAGGACAGGTAAACTTAGGCAATAAATGAAACCATCGAAAAGATATAGCTAGTGAAGAGGTAATTGAATAATGGGACCATGTTCCAGTCCCAAAATACAGTTGGTCCTGGCAGCTTTGGCCACATGGTTCTGTCTTTCGAGTCAAAGATAGAAGAAAGGGGTTTTGGAATCTTCTTCTGTGGCTAAGAAAATCAACTGAGTCCAGGAGCAAGTCAGGTTAGCTCCTGAATGGAGGCCTAGAGAGACCATTGCATGAAGCTGTGAAGTTGAAGCCTGGATTGTCTTGGAGAGCTCAATAACGTTGGAGATGCCAGAGCTGTGGGATACCTGCAAAAAGCTACTAACAGAGAGTGAAACAAGCCCAAAAGACAGATGTGTGTTGCAATCAAAACTCTGCAAGAAGCTAGAGATCTGAAGACCCTTTTCACAGCAGACATGGAGATACAGCATTTGGGGTTGCCCGGAGGGTTTTTGGTCTTGCCTTGGTCCTGTATTGTCTCTTTGATCATTTTGCAATGGCAATATTTATCTGTGCCATTATATGTTGGAATTATGTGGTTTGCTTTTTGATTTTGATTTTTACAGGGGATTATAGTTAAGAGATTTTATTAATCTCAGAAAAGACATTGAACTTTAGACTTTTAAATAAGTTTGAGACTGTGATAGACTATGGGCACTTTCAAAGTTGGACTGAGTGCAGTTTTACATTATGCTATTGCTACAAGCCTTTGAGGGCCAGAGAGTATAATGTCATGGTTTGGAAGTAGATGATACCCATAGGGAATGGCACTATTATGATGTGTGGCTTTGTTAGAGTAGGGGCTGCATTGTTGCAGTATATATATCATGGTGAGGTTAGGCTCTCCTATGCACAAGAGATGTGCAATTGGAACACAGTTCATTTCCTGTTACCTGTGGATTAAGATTTAGAACACTCAGTTCCTTGTCTAACACCATGTCTACCTTCATGCCACCATATCCAGCCATGATGATAATGGACTAAACTTCCAAACTGTAAGCCACCCTAATAAAATACTTTCCTTTATAAGGGTTACCATGGTTATTGTGTCTCTTCACAGCAATAGTAACCCAAATCAATACAGCTTATCTGCAAACCAATTCATCTACCCACACTGGGAGAGCTGATAGCTCTAGTAGAGATGCTCATCAGCTAATGCTTTCAGGAAAAGACAGAATTCTGAATGCAACTATTTCTGTCCTAAAGCTGAAGTCTCTTCTTAGGTGCAGGAGTATTGGCACCTCATCATGAACATTGGATACTTTTAGTCACTTGGAGGGAGGCCTTCCAACGGGAACCATTGAATAAAGAGTTGGAGTCAAGACCTCTGTGAGCCCAGTCAGAGTTATTAGGCTAAAGAAACTGGATCTTCATTTCAAATTTTGGAAAATATAAAGGACAACAAGTGGTTTTTTTGTTATCTGTCTTTATGGAAAAAGTGTCTGACTCTCTACTGTGGTATTTTGTTAAGAAATGTAACAAAGCCAGCAAGTGGTGTCACACGCCTTTAATCCTAGCACTTGGGAGGCAGAGGCAGGTGGATCTCTGTGAGTCTGAGACCAGCCTGGTCTATAAGAGCTAGTTCCAGATCAGTCTTCAAAGCTAGACAGAGAAACCCTGTCTCAAAAAACCCAAAAAAGAGAGAAAAGCAACAAATGAATAAATAAATTAGTAATGATCTCAGAGTTAGTTGAAAATTTAATGTAAACTTTGTACAAATGTTTTAAAAATAAGCTGAGTACCAGAAAACATACAGAATGAAGAACATGTCATTGCTAATGATTTCTTCACTGGAAATCTCTTAATCTCTTGTGGTTGTGAATAACCACTTATGCTACAGAGCTGGACAATGATGGCCATTGTGATTTTGCAACATAGGAATGTCCAATATATATCTGTAAATATTAATAAGAAAAATTTTAGACCCAAGGTGAGGTATTTGATTCTGGACTCACTGTAGGTCCTAAAAGCTAGCTGATATTTTATGTAGATAAAAAGGCACAGTTCTATATGGAAGTATTTGAGGCCTGAGATGAAAAAGGAAATATAAATGACGTTGCTGTGGAAATATGGTCCCATCCTCTAGGAAGACCAGGGGAAGATGTAAGTGAACAAAAGTAGTTCCTGGGACATATACCAGCACGGCTTGGAAAACCAGGGTCCTGTGTTCCACTCCCATATTTATTGGAAAGTTTCCTATTTCCTCCATGATCCACAGAGACATTTGGAGAAAGCACATCTAGCCTGGTATTTCTCTTCTTATCACCTTAAGTGGCAATTGGAGTGGAATGATGAATGTTCCTGTACTTGCTGCTTTGTGGCATGACCATATCCCAGTAGAGTTCCCTGTATTGGCCCTCCCCACCATCCCCTGTGGTGGGGAATATCAGGTAAGTCGCAGTCCCTATACAGTTGATTCTGGCTTGGAATGTCTAGAATTGGGAATGAAAAAGCATCAGAATCCAAGTGTTTTCACCTAGTGAGCTTCAGACAAGCACCAAAGCATCCAGTCTTCTGCTCATCAACAATGAATGATTATTGTCAATATTGTTGTGCTGGTATGTACCTGTGTTGTATTTTTTACCCTCACTGTTAGTTTTTGTAATGTCATACATTTCTCTCCTTCAAATCTTGTTCTTTCTCTCTTTAACACTAGGCACAAAACTGTTTTGCAGTGTTTTCTTAATTAATTTGAACTTCTCAGTTATTCTATATTACCATATCTCCATCAGCATTAGAAGTGCAGCTGTTGTTTTCAATTGCTTTTATTTGCTTTCTAATGTAAACATTTGGTTGACTTTTGTGTTGAGTAGGTCTTATTTCTCCCTTTGGGTGTTGCTTGGGATTGATATCTTGAGCTAAATCTGGTTACTAGGCAGAGACTTGTAAAACTATTAACTAACACAAAAGGTAAAAATTATGATCCAGAAAAAAAGTTGTCAATGAACAAGTAATGTTGCTCTGCCAAAAGTTAATATCACTTCAACAATGAATGCAAAAGTATAAGACTCATGCAAAACCAGACAATGAACTCAGAAGTCTTAATTTAAAAATGTTCAAAGATTTTAACGATGTAAACAGGGTTAAGGACAAATTTATACAAGTCTTAGTTAATAAATTTACCTCTGAGATAGAGATTGGGGAGCAAGAGATGAAAATCATGGTAAGAACAACCTCAGTGAGTCAAATAAAACAACCAGGGGGAAGAATATCTAGCAGATATGCTAGTCAAAATAGAACAAAATCAACTACAGCTTATATTGTAACTGTATGTATTGTCACTGTATGTCAGTCTAC